TAAGATTAATGTTCACTTCTGCATTGTTAATAATCATGAAAAATCCAGAAAGCCTAATTGTCCATCCATAAGAGAAGGGATGAATATATTTGGGAATTTTTATTCAGTGGAATACATATAGCAATTAAGATAAATGAACTAGAACTACATGTATCATTAGGAATAAAACTCTAAAACATAATATTGAGCATGAAAATATTATTGCAGAGTGTTTGCAGTATGCTAACATTAATATAAACTTCTAAAATGTGTGAAGCATTCTTGGGAATAATCAACATTAAATTCAGGGTGCAGTTTACATCCTGAGGTGGAGGAAGTTGGGGAATTTCAATAATGCTTAAACTAAGTATTTTCCATAATGCTTAAGCTGCAACTGTAATGTTCTTTTTTAAAAAATTAAGCAAATACAGAAATGTTAAATTTGACAAAACTAGATGGCTATATAGGTGTTAGTGGCATTATTCTTTTTACTTCTTTGTTTGCTTGAAATATGTGATAATTTAAAAAACTAAGAATAAAAACAAAAATATTTTGTTAACAGACCCAGAAACCATATGTACAACTTATTTTAACAATAAAAATCCCAAAAGAAAGAGGGGTAGTAAAAATTCTCAAAGATCACAATGAAAGAAAGAATAGTCAATGTAAGTAAACTTAATCAGTTTGTTCCTATGGGGCTAGCTAATAAGTGTTCGATTTATACCTCTGTATTTCAGGTACTGGGTATCTAGGAGCCCACAGGCTGAGCCTCACAGGACAACTATTTCTTCTCTTTTGTTGTTTATTTCTCTTTACCTATGTTCTAATATTTCTCTCTTCCATCTTCCCTAGATGTGATACTAGTCTAATGTTTTGTTATTTCATCTGTTGATAAGAAGCAGGACACATATCTTTATTTCAATTGATCCCTTTTCTAAGTCAAAGGGCACACACACGAGAGACTTAAACCAAGTCTCTATGCCTATAAAAATCCTCAAAGAGGGTTTTTTCAAAAAGTAGGAGGTAACATTTTCAGGATCCTCCTGTAGAAGCCGGTTTCTTCTCCCTTTTATCTCTAGCCTTCTTCACATAGAAAGCTCTCTTTGTTGAAGTTCACTACCAGAACAAGTATGTATGTCAAGTGTTTGTTATCTATTGAAGGAGCTACTAATATGATAATATATAAGCTTAAACACACCTACAAATTATTTGTTAATTTATGTGAGAAAGGATCTAACCCATTTAATGTAATGTATTACATAGATTCATCTGACTATGAAGATTATGCCTGATTCATCTTAAAAATTGAAGACTTTGCTAATGTGTGTCACTGTTTTCTGAGCCAGCACAATAAAGTAATAGGACAAATTTTCAATTAGCAATCATTATATTTAGTTAAGCACTATATATTTCGTTATCACCAAAAGGCAAATTTATGTTATTTATGTTGGGTGGTAATAAGTATCATAGAGGTGAATAAATCAGGTAAAGGGGCTATAGGGTGCCAGGGGTTATGGTGATTGCTCTTTTATAATGAGTGGTTAGGAAAAGTTTTCGACTCTGAGGAGAGAATGTTTCAGCTAGAGGTAGCAGCAATTATAAGGACCTGAAAGTGAGAGTATATTTGACACATTCCAGGAACAACAGGCAGATGAATGGAGGCTGGAATAGAGTGAGAGAGAAGAGAAATAGCAGGAAATGAGCAGAAGAGTGGGGATGAGGGAGTTTGGATCAAGTAGGGCCTAGTATTGGCTTTGATTTTGAACGAGACAGAAAGCCATTGAAGCATTTTGATCAGAGGATGGACCTGACCTGACTTCTGTTTTAAAAAGATCCCTTTGGCTATAGAGAAGAGAAGATACCTACTTGCCATTCTACCTTTATAATCTGGGGAAATTAATGAAATAATAATAGTAATGGTTAATTTTTTATGCTAATATTAACTGCACTATGTTTTTCAAGTATTCATTTCTTACCACAACACTATGAACTAGGATTATAATTATCTCTTATTTTACTAATGAGGAAAGTAAAACACAAAGAGGTTAAGTAAATAGGCTAAGGCCTCGTAGCCACTAAGTAACAGAGGCTGAATTCAAACCCAGGCAGTCAGACTTCATCGCTTCCACTTTTAATTAATGAAAATGCCATACTGTCCCTTCTACTTCAGGTGGTATTATGAAGAATGCATGGATGTGGGTGTGAGTATGTATATCTTTAAAATGTTAAAATCCACCAAGTATATAAAACCAATGAAGTAATGGAAAGAACAGCGGTGGCTCACGCCTGTAATTCCCAGCACTTTGGGAGGCTGAGGCGGGCAGATCATGAGGTCAGGAGATCAAGACCATCCTAGCTAACACGGTGAAACCCCATCTCTACTAAAAATACAAAAAAATTAGCCAAGAGAGGTGGCAGGCCCCTGTAGTCCCAGCTACAGGCTGAGGCAGGAGAATGGCGTGAACCCGGGAGACGGAGCTTGCAGTGAGCCGAGATAGCGCCACTACACTCCAGCCTGGGCGACAGAGCAAGACTCTGTCTCAAATAATAATTAATAAATAAATAAATAAATAAATAAATAAATGACTTCTATAAGTAGTTTTAGGGAGAGGGGATAGAACTCATGGTAGATTTTTGATTTAAGGGGAAAAAATTGCTTGTAAAAGATGTGTGAAGAGAATATTACATTGAAGGAAGAACATTTCTGAAAATAGTTCATTAAAAGGCAAACTTAAAGATAAGAAAAGATTAAAATCTAAGTGGTAATGTTTAGTCTGGGTGAGAATTGACTGAAGCTGGATAAAATTAAATTTGAATAAGATCAGCAAGCATCATAAAGAACTAGAAGTGTTTTCGTCATCCTATAGAAAACTGATCCTCTGGTATACCACAATACTTTCTGAAAGTGTCTACATTAGTAATGATTAACCTGTGTGCTGGATTGAACTGGGTTTTAAAGATCAGTTCCATTTGGAAGGAGAATGTTTCTAGTGGTGGTTTAAGACACTTTTTTTCCTGTTCGGTATTTAAACTGAGTCATACAATTTGAGACTATTGTGTCACATTTTCCACCTTTCATTCTCCTCAAGAGGCAGTAGTCAGGAGAAACAGGAGTGATGAACATTAGTGGCAGAGTATGTGGTTACAATAGTCAATAAACCACAGGATGCTTCAGATTCTTAAACAGTTAAAAGAAAAAAAAAAAGCCACTACATAGAGTCCATAGAAAGAGTGATTGTCTAAAGCTGGCACTCAGAGAGCAAGGACCCAGCCATAATTAAAGCTTCCCTATCCCATTGTAACTCCTTTTACATTCTCATCCTGAGAGAACCCATAACCTTGACTGTCTGAATATTTTACAAACTAACAAAGCAGTTTTGTAAAGAAATAAACAAAAACAGTCTAGTACTTAATTACAATTGCAACAGTGTTAAACAGTCTCGCATGCAGATTAAAGAAAGCCTTCAGGCTTAGATTTTAAGACTTTAAACCAGTTCATTCTAATCTCTCCAGTCTCTTGTGATGACATAAAGTATCACGTCTTCAAAAATAACTGTTTAGGATTTGTATTTCAAATTTTTATTAAAATTCTTCCTTTCCCCTGGACTGATTTTTAAAGTTTGTCTGAATATATTCCATATTTAATTGCATAACACAGACTGATAAACACTTTTGGAGTGCCAGCTCTTTAACTGAACCTTTAATGGAACAGATATAAGCTGTTACTCTGTGAATTCTAAATTAGCCAAAAAGAGAAAACTGGGAAAATCATGACAATACCTCAGTTTTAATATATCCCCTTTCTTCATTTCTTCAATTCCAGCTTTTATCTACTTGAATCTAATTAAGTTAGCTTAGATACAGACTTCCTAATAGAAGTAAGCTTTTAGAAATAAATTTAAAAAGCAGAAGACTTGTTTTGTTTCAGGAATAAGGTACAGAACATAACACAGTAGACAAGGAACAGAAGAGTGAATATGAGCTAAATCATTTTTAAAACCACAGTCTTCAGGGTTGAAGAGAAGGGAGATGTTGATAGGGCAAATTAAAGAGGATTTTTGATATGAAAACAGAAAGTAAAGCTGCTTCTTGAATATATTTAAAATTAGCTCTTTAGATTGCCTATATAAAGCCGATATTTACTGAGCACCTATTATGTACCCAGAAGCACTTAGCTTCTATCAACTTACTTAATGCTCACAACTATATGAGATCTTTAGCATTATTTTCCCTATTTTACAAATGAGTAACTGAGGCCACAAAGAGTGTATGTAATTAGATCAAAGTTATATACTTTGCGAGTAGTATTGCCTGGTTTGAAACTCAGTCTAGCATCAGAGCATGTGCCCTTAGCCACTGTGCTCAATCAACTCTAAATTAGCAATCCTTTACTTTGATGCCATACAGCAAATTTGAAAAATTTTTTTGTATGAGTATATTGTGTATCAGAGATGAAGATACCTCAAACATAAAGATATACCAAGATATGGGACCTATCAGACATGTAATAGCAACTTTCTGAGTTGGGAGCCAGATATGGTGTAAGTGTCATATCTGACTGGTTGAGAAACAGAATGGAGCTTCATTTCATACATTCAAACACATTTTCCTAATCTTTATACTTGTTTTGTTAAGATACACACTATTGAAGCTGTTTTCTAAATTTATCTTTTAAAAAAGTTTTGGAAAATCCTAGACAAAAATGGAAAGTTATTCGCAGCTGAAATTAATAGGAAATATTAACTATGGAGGTATCTGCCTTTAAAAAATAGGAGAATGCAACACATTGAAGATTATCTAATTTATTACAAAATTTAAATGCTAATAATGGTTGTGTTTTTTGATGGAACTATGAATTATTTTTTACCTTCTTTCTGCTTTTCTTTCCAGTTTTTCCTTCATTAACTTGTTTTCCTCATTATACTAGAAGTCACTTTGTTCATAAACTTGAAAGAAGAAATTTAATTAAAGATGATTCCATAATTAATTTATAATTTTTAAAAGGGACTGATTTAGCTTACCAGATTATAAACTCTTTTAGGGAAGCAAATTTCTTCTTCTTTATAACTTCTCATAATGCCAATTCCTGCAGACAGTAGCAGCATAAGGTGTAATTATTGACAGAAGCCATTACTGTGGACCATTGAATTCACCCTGCCAAGAAGTGAAATGAAATTTAGAAAATTTAGAATTTTCAAAAGGTTGTGTAGAAGAAGCGAGTACTGAGGAATAGCGAGTCATGAAATGTAGGGAACTTAAAGCAGAGCAAGAAAAGCCCAGAAGTATCAGAGCTCCCCATACATTATTATGAAAGTATAGCCAACTTCAATTTCCACCAAAATTTTGCAATTTGCCTAAAGTAGCTCTTATGATTTCCTCAGAGACTTTTTATAAATATAAGGAAGGTAATATCAAAACCAAGCAAGGATAATACAGAAAAGAAAATTACAAACTGTCTTTCTCATGAACATAAATATAAGAATCCTAAACAAAATGTGAGCCAATTGAATCCAGCCATATATAGAAATTATTGTAAATTATGACGAACTGTGATTTATTCCAGAAATACACAGGTGGTTTAACATTTCCGAATAAATGTAATTCACCATATTAACAGAAAAAGGAGAGAGAGAGATCACATGATCATTTTGATAGATTTTTAAAATCTTTAATATTCATTCATAGTAAGACCTAGGAATAGAAAGATTAACTTCCTTAATCTGATTAAGAGGATCTACAAAAACCTACAGCAGAATTCAATATAAAATGCCCACTATCACTACTTCCACTCAGCATTGTATTGGAGGTCCTAACCAGTTTAATAAGTCAAGAAAAAGAAAGCGAAAGCATAAGCATTGGAAGAAGAAAGAAAATTGTCACTATTCACAAATAACCTATTGTATACATTAAAAATCTAAATGAATTTGCAATATTTATGTCTTTGGGATAGGCCATATTTCTTAAACAGAAAAAATAGTACTCTGTCAAGAAAAAATGGATTCATTAAACTTCTGTTTATCAAAAGACGCCCTTAAAAACTAAGAACTTCTGTTCATCAAAAGATGCCCTTAAAAAGAGTAAAAAGGCATACCACAACCTAGAAGATATTTATAAAAGATGATCTGACAAAAGACTTGTATCCACAATATACAAATGACTCCTACAAATCTATAAGAAAAAGTCAGGTAACCAAAGGGAGAAATAGACAAAAGATTTAAATAGATGCTTCACCAAAGAGGATACCTAAGCAGTAATAAACATTTGAGAAGATGCTCACTCTTACTAGACATAAAGGAAGTGCAGATTAAAACAACCAGAACAATTAATATCCCAAGAGTTGGCAAGTAAACAGAGCTATTGGAATCCTCATTCACTGCTAGTGGAAGTATAAGTAGATTTTAAAAACCACTATAGAAAAGTGGCAGTGACTGCAAAGCAGAACATATGCATACCCTGTCCCAGCAGGGTTCCATTCTTAGGTGTGTACATGTCCACCAAATACATGTTTTAGAATGTTTACAACATGTATTTATAATAGCCTAACATCAGAAACAATCCAAATGTTTTTTAGCACTAGAATGAATAAATAAATGTGGTATAGTCGCGCAATGGAACACTTTACAGCAGAGGTCAGCAGATTTTTCCTGTAGAGGACCAAATAGTAAATATGCTAGACCTTGTGTGCCATGTGGGTTTCTGTTGCAGCTACTCAACTATATTGTGATAGCATGAAAGTAGCCATAGACAATACTTAAACAAAATAGAATGACTGTTTTGTAAAACAAACAACATTTTATATGTGGACACTGAAATTTGAATTTCATAGAATTTTCACATGTAATGAACTATCTTTCTTTTGATTTTTTTTTTTTTAATGTAAAAATCTTTGGCTCACAGGCCATACAAAACAGGCAGTGGGCCAGATCTGACCTTAGTTTGTCAATCTCTGCTCTACAGCAATGAGAATGGACAAACTATAACTACATACATCACTGTGAATTAATGTCATATAATTTTTAAGTAAAAGAAGCTAGACACAAAAGAGTACATAGTAGAGCATTCTATTTACACAAAGTTCAAAAGTAGGCAGAATTATCTGAGATGTTAGAAGCAAGACAGATACTACCCTTGAGGGAGCTGGTAGTGACTGAAAACAAGCAAAGGGGAGCTTCTGGGTAACTAATAAAACATTCTGCTTCTTGATCTCGATGCTGGATACACAAGTGTGTGCAGCTAGTGAGAATTCATAGCATATTTTTATTTGTGCACTTTTCAATATGTATGTTACTTGAATAAAGACTTCATTAAAATGGGAAGCTATTAGTTATATGGAGTAGGAGAGGAAAGAACAGGTATATGTACAACAGTACTTTTCTACCTAAAAAAAAAAAAAAAAAGAAAGAAAAGGCACAGCAACTAATGACAGATTTTTTTAAAGGACCATTAAAACGTTTAAAAATTATTAGGTCAATAACAAAATTCCAAAACAAAAGTGTGAAGATGAAATGAAATATTGTTATTAAATGGCTGAACTTTTCAACTCCTTTAAACTCTCTGATTTAAAAGATCATTTTTCTGTTTCTTAAGGCAAATAATATAGATAAGACTATATTGCTGAGGAAGTTCCCAAAAGGAAGAAATCAGAGGATCATTTGACATTTCACTAAACCTCTAGCCTTTTCAAGCATCTCTACATATGTACTGATTAGTTTTCTTCTGATGTCTTTGGATCCTGCTAGTGCTGTAGTTATAAGTCAGCCATAGTTGAGTCTCGACTGTGCAGCCTCGAGAAAATATAGCCTTTTCATATGATGCTATAGAACTGAAATGTAATTTTCATTTTTATACCCAGAGGACAAAAAAAATTATCTAAAAAGATATATACTTAAACTTGAAGTGATTTATGTTTCCATGGGTTGATTCCATTGTTTTGGTGGCATCTATGGGAGCTCTAAGAACTTATTTGGGATTTGCCATAGCAGCCAAGAAGAGAGTCCTGTGGCTACAGGACTCTATGAAATTTTACAATTAATGTTTAAATTAAGAAAGTATGGAGGGTAAAGCAAGCTATTATGTAATGACAAAACAATAAAAGAATTTTTACTTTTCATCTGTTTGTCACTCAACTTTGGAATAAGAAAAAATATTGTTTTTTAAAGCTAGAATACCTTACTTGCTGAACTCTATAGCTCCTTGGAGTATTTGCATATTGTAACATTAACATATTTTCCATTGCTCTTATCATTCACCCTCATGGCAACATTACTGATAATTTTTAAACCAAATTTATTTTGTTTAAAACTTGCTTTATGTATATATATTTTGTCCTCTTGAATTGTCATCTTCATTCACATATCAGCACATACAGACTATTCTATCCTGATTTCTGGAATTTTTAATATTTAAAAAATTCTGCTGCTTATAGCTGTGATACCTGGTATCATTTATGGGTTTTCATAAAGGGGGGAGTCAAAAGGAAAAATACAGTACTGTCTGGCCTCTCTCTACCTTCTTCTTTTCTATCCCCCCTTTCCACAGAGGAGTTTAATTTTAAATGATAAATGTGGAAATTAGAGACCATCGAGAAAATCCAATTTGGTGAGGAGTTTTAAAAATCCCATAATAAACGCAGAGTGAAATGTATGATTTAATGCAGGGCACCAATGGCTGTTATTATGGGCTATTAGCAAATCGGGGCTGAGAGTGAATCTTTATCACTTGGTGAGTACGGGTTGGTCCTGCCTTTCCCTCTGCTATTGATTTGTAGCCGCTTGTCATAATGACACCGGGAAGCAATGAATGGAAGATGTGCTTTTGATAGGATTCAGGGGGGTCTTGGAAGGGGGAAAGAAAATTCAGCAAGTTTTCTATCTCTTCTGCCTGATTAGATTTTTTTTCTTCTTTTAAGAGCTTTCACATTCCAATAAAAATGCTAAATCAGCGCTGTACCAGAATTGTTATGGTGTAAATAGCTAGTCACATTTAAAGGAGGAAAAGGTAAAGAAATATCAACCAGACTATGTAACGTTAGATGAATTTGACTTTATAGAAATGGAGTTGCACGTGTATATGCTTGTGAACACATGAAGAGCAGTGTGAAGAAGTGTCAGGCATAATACTGTAAGTATACACACTACATCAAGATACACCTATATTTTTGTAAGTATGTGATCATTTGCCTTCAGTATGTGACAGAAGGTGATTTAGCTTTGTATGAATGTGTCAATTTTATGAAGATCAATTCAGTTTTTGTTATGTGTTTATTTTGATAAAGACCACATAAGAAAGAGGTATATTTGTACTGATAATTAAGTAAATTTAATCTCCTGAATCTACTAGTCGTAGTAGAAATTTACTCAACATTTTTCAGATAGGAAAACCATACTGTTTGAGGACAAAGACACTCATGGGGTAATCCAATGAGGGTAAAAAAGATTTCTCTATAGAAAATCTACCTAAAATTTTCTTAGGGTAAGTTAGCTGTCAGCATATGGAAATAGTTATTTGTAGCCCAAGTATGTTTTTTCTATCCCCTTTAAAAGGAAACAATGGTTTTCCTTCCAGGCTCTTTTATTCCAAGACAATGCTAGGGATAAAAGTTCCTCTCTTTACATGCAAAAGTGCATGCATGCAGGCAGTGTGATGTTACAGCAATGGAAAGGGCTAATGTAAGCATGGAGGGAGGAGTACATTCAGTGAACATGTGACACCATTTTGACAGTTACATCAAATGATAAAATCTGCCTTCTCACCTGCTTTACTTCTCAGGTAGGTCTAGATGAGAGTAAGAAAAGCACAAATATTCCCCCATAGTAAGTAGAATACCACGGTTAGATACTTATTAACTGCTTGTGGTGATCATTTATCCCTTTATCCTTTCTAGTTGAGGAAGACTAAAAAACTTTAAAATATAATGTTGCATGTAAGCAGAAACCATATATGAAAAATAAATCCCATCTGGATCCTTAAAAACAAACTTAAACACCAGAAGGTCTTCTAATCTATTGAAATATACCATGAAAAAATATATTTGGAGGCCTGGTTTACAGAATTTAATGTCAGGGAACCAAAAAGCAGCTGTGAAAAAAAAAAATCAAAACTATTAATCTAAGTGTATTTCTCACGTTTGTGAAGTAAAAAGGGCTGTATTATACTCTAGGTATTAATCTCACTAGAAGAGTGTGTGATTTAAAACCAACAGTAAATGAAATGGATGTTCATAGAGATGTGAACCAAGAACAGATAGACTATCTGTAGTTGGAACTTTGTGCTATAGAAGGACTACTTCCCATTAGTCATGCATACCTGAAAGGACTTTATGAGAACTTGCGTCTTTTCAGATGTTGAAACAATGAATACCCTTTAACAGAGAAGGTTTCCCAGGCAATGCAAACAGATACCAGAGTTCATATACTTCCATACCCCCGCACCTCCCATAAAAGGAGTATGCCTAAATTGTGATAAGTTAGAATGTTGCCATTTATTATGTATCATTTATTAAAAACTAATTAAAGGCAGAAAGAGGCATTTCTCTTTTTTTCAGTGGCAGTTTTATTCTATGTAATGTAAGTGATTATTATTTGGTCTATATATAGCTGTTTCATACTACAATGAATTACCTGTATTAAAGTAATAATACCATATGTTCCCACAGCTTTTGTTCTAATGTAAAAGC